AGCTTTATTATATATAGTTTAAACTATAGTATTAGCAGTAGTAATAGCAGCAGCAGTTAGCAGTATAAGAGCAAGAATAAAAATCGCCTTAGAAGGCATTACGCCTTACTATATAAACTTATATAGTATTTATAATAGCGCTTAGCTATTAATATAGTTTAAATACTATTTTATATAAAATAAATATTAATTATTATATAACTAGTTTTAACTATTTTCTATAGTAACTTATAAGCTAAGTTATTATTTAATTACTTTTTATTATCTCTAAAGTAGTACTTCTTTAAGTTAATTTTATAAAATTAAATATAATAGTTTTAAAGTAATAACTTAATTATATATTACTATATTTATAAGAAATAAATAAGAATTAATTTATATATATATCTAGTTAGTATTATACTTAATTATATAGTATACTATTTACTTTAAAATAGTAGAATAGTTCCCTAGGGAATAATTAAGAAATAAAATTAGCTAGCTATTTTAGAATTATTTTTAAGTTAGTTTTAATTATTACTTTTATTATTTCTACTAAAGAAGACTTATAGTATTAAATTTTAACTTAAAAATAAGCTTATTAGTAAGTTACTTCTCTAAGTTTAAGTATTATTAGTATTATAATAATAACTTATATCTATAAAATATTTTTTTAAGTAATATAAACTAGTTTAGAAATAATTTAATAAAATAATAAAAATAGTTACAGAGTAGTGCTAGTGTTGTTAAACATTCTTTCATTCATTATCATTAATAGACACCTAAATGGGGTTCAACACTAGCACGAGAGAATGCCGATGTTCTTAACTCTGTAGCATTTTATTCTCTAGCGGCCTCTTGATAAGACACTCTGGGGTTCCCCCGGCCCGTCCAACTATGGCTCCAACTCCCTACCCTAGATGCAGCGCATAGAGAAGCTTCCTCCTTGCGTACATCTTCCCGCGGGGCATTGCTGCTGTTGCCGAGGGAGTACGTACAGGCAGGCACGAAAAGAATTGTGTGGCGTCATCTCTGTTGTACTCGAAGAACAGGGCTTGCTTGCTGAGGGCTCACGCAAGGACAAGTTGATTCCCTCCTGTTCTCGGAGAATAAAGTATCTGGGTACCCGTTTTTTTTTGGATCACACTGTCGCGCAACCCCATCCAAGACAAAGCCCAGCACACAATGCAGCTGTTTCACGACACAATGCCCATCACGTTAGACAAGTTATTTAACCTCTTGTGTAATTACATGGCGAAACACCTACGCACTCCCTTCCACATCCGGGCGACGGTCTCATCTCACCGGCCGGAGAAGATGGTTGACAAATGAAGACGTAAAAAGGGAGCCGCGGATGACGGCCCCATCTTCCGCGGTTAGCGCCGAACCTCGGCAAAGTGGATACGGCAGCGATTAGCCGCTCTTACCACCTTTGCCTATTACTAATTTGACCACCCATCATCAGAGCTTCGTGAGGCTAACCTGATCTGCAAGATGTGACGCGAAGTCCGGCGAGCGTGTTTACAAATCCACAGACGTGGTAGAATCGTTACAAATATCTTATTGCCTCGTGCGACTCCGTTCAGTCGTCGCAATGTTTAAATTGACAGTCCCGCCGCCCGATGTTATGCTTCGCGAGCAAAAGAAGAAAAAAAGGAGTGGCACATATGCATATACTCGTTGTACAGACCACCGACGTCAAGATCGAGTTATAAACTTGTCTTCATCTTGCCAACGGTGGCTGCCGCACTCATCATACGCTGACGCGTTGCCCCCTTCTCTCACGGGTGAAAAAACCGCCGCCCAGGACCAAGCGCGTAATCAAACATCGCCGGGACAACTAGCCGGGCAGAATGCGGACAGAAGCACCGAGTGATCCTGAAAATGCTCATGGCAGCAATACCCCCGGCGAAAGACTCGTGGCAGCGGGTCGCCCTTCAGAGGAGACGCGGACGAAGAGGCAAACACCGACGCGCCAAAGGAGCCCATTTCCGACGATGAATGGGGAAGAGATGCCGCAAATCCCCTAAACTGGCCCGCGTGGAGGAAATTCATGCTCGTTTCGTGCATATCAGCCATGGGGTTCATGGCGTAAGGCAGACGCAACCGCCAGCGGCCACGTCCGTGGTGATATGACGGCTAACAGCGTCCCAGGTCCGCGGGAACTTCGATCCTCAGCCCCGGCCGCGCGCAGCTCATGGCGGAATTCGACGTCAGCAGCACCGTTGCCATCCTGCCTGTCGCGTTGTACGTCTTCGCCCTCGGCTTCGGTCCCGTCATCGGCGGTCCGCTCTCCGAAACCGTCGGCCGCCTGCCAATCTACGCCTTGACTATGCCGCTGGGCTCCTTGTTCGCGCTCGGCGCCGGGCTCACGCACAGCTTTGGCGTGCTGTGTTTCTGCCGATTCATGAGCGGCTTCTGCTGGTCGCCCGTGCTGGCAGTTCCGTCGGCGTCGATATCGGAGACGTTCCCGCCCAAGACGAGAGGGCCGGCCTCGGCCGTGTTCATCCTGATGCCGTTTTTGGGGCCCGGGCTCGGGTACGTACGTGCACACGCGGCTTCATGTCTTCTTCCATCCCGGCGACGGTGACGCGGGCGTTTGCTAACTGTGTTTGTCGTTGTTTGGGGACCAAGGCCCGTCATGGGCTCGTTCCTCGTCAGCAGAAAAGGCTGGCGCTGGACGCAGTGGACGCTCATCCTGATGGCCGTCTTCTGCATGCTCCAGCTCCCTTTTCTCCGCGAGACCTTTAACCCCATTGTCAAGCGCCGGCTCGCCAAGACAAGGGGCCTGCAGCTGCCTCCCAAGGCTCCCCCGGGGGCTAGGCTCTCGCAGTTTGCCCGTGTGGCCGTCATTCGACCCGTTCACATGCTCTTTGCCGAACCCATCGTCACGTTTCTCTGCCTCTACGTCGCAGTCAACTTTGGCATCCTCTTCAGCTTCTTTGCGGGAGTGCCTTACACATTCGGCCTCGTGTACCGCTTCAGTCTCGAGTCGTCTGGCCTGGTGTTCCTGTCCATCGCCACGGGGTGTGTAGCCGGCTTCCTGACCATTATTCTCTGCGACGTCTTCATCTACCGCAGGAAACTGGCATCGTACCCGCATCTCAAGACACCCCCCGAGCACCGCCTCTACCCGGCCATGATTGGCAGTCTGGGTCTTCCAGTCGGGCTGTTTTGGTATGGCTGGACGGCGAGAGCAAGCGTTGGCTGGGCCAGCCCCGCCGTTGCGATATTCCCATTTGCATGGGGCAATCTCTGTGTGTTTGTCAGCTCCATACAGTACATGTCCGATACGTATCAGGGCAACGTGATTGCCAGCGCCGTGAGCGCAAACGGGCTGGCTAGATACGGGTTTGCCGGGGCATTCCCCTTGTTTACCATCCAAAGTACGTAACGTGTCTGGGCGGTGCGACTGCGATGGCTGGCCGCCGAACCACCCGCTAACATGAGTTGCGTGACCCAGTGTACGAGGGCCTCGGGATAGATTGGGCCTGCAGTCTGCTCGGCTTCTTCGCGTTGGCGTTGCTCCCGATTCCCTGGGTCCTGTTCCGGTACGGACCCAAGATTCGCGCAAAGAGCAAGTACGACACCGTAGACTACACGTATGAATGACATGAGGGAATGAAAGGAGTCGGACGCACTGCTGGTCGTGTCGCGAGCACAAAGGGGGGTGAAGAAGAGACGCGTTTGCAGGCCCTCCCTCACACACTACACTACTGCGGCAACCCTAACCCTGCCCCCTGCTCGTCCGCGACTTCACACGACTACATGCCAGTCGAGCCACAGGCTCGTCACATCTCCGTGCCATGAATCCGTGACAACGCTCATCGCCATGTTCCTCAACGGAGCGTCGCCCCAACGGCAGGCGAGAGAGGGCACGTCGATTGCCCCCCAGACGCAGGTATACAAGAGTGTTGCGACCCAGAGCGAGTCCGCGCGGACGAGGAAGCCAATGAAAATAATTCAAACTTTGATTCAAACCCAATGATTGGCGCAGATGTGAAAATTACCAATCCATCATCATATCTCTGGTGGATATACGTGAAACCTGTAATAGTAGGATTCAAAATAAACACCTTGGCAGGCACAGAATTGAATCCCAGACAAGGCCTTTTACACGGTTTATATTGTACAAGCTGGGAAATTTGCCACATCCAATGATAATCGCAACAGCATTTTTTCTGGTATAGTCCTCATTACATCAAGGCTTCCACGGGACGAACAGGCCCAAGATAAAGAGTCCACAACACAAAAGAAGCCCGCAAGCACTCAACAGGGAAAGATTCAACGTCCATGTTCTTCCTGAACTTGCAGCGACTGTCAGACGACGGAGAACGCTCCAAGACGTGTCGGAGCCGCATCTACTACCAACTATAGGGTAGCGTTTCCGCGGACTCGTGCCTCGCAAAAAGCAAGCAGCCGCGATGGAGATGATATGATCTAAGCCATGTGTGAGCGGCAGACTGACGCAAGAGGAGGAGGAGGAGGACGTGCAAAGCGCAAATCAACCCTCACTACTCCGTACATCTAGACTACAAGAAGGCTTCTGTGCGGCCACCGTCCGACGGAAGCTACGTGGAACGTCTGTCTATGTGGTGTGACCTCCTCCTCCGGCGGTGTTGTTTGTTTTCCTACATCCGCAAACCGCTAGCAAGAGCCGTGAGAGATCAGCAATGCCCGATACGAAGCAGCGTGAGCATCAAGGCTAATCGGAGGGAAACCAGGCCGACGGCACGGATCAGACGGGTTGTGTAGATGCCGTGGGCTGGCTCTCAAGAGCGTCGTCGACACGGTCCTCCACGCGTACATTTCCTGGAATCGGCATCTCCGCGCATCTGACGTGCCCGCGTGCATCAACATCAACATCAACATCAACGTCAACCCGGGACCTGCCCGGTTGATCGCTCCGCCGGGGGAGGGGAGGAGGGGGCTAGTCCCCCAAGTCCACGACGGGCCGGTTGATGTTGACATTGGTTATGGAGACTGAGGAGATTTGGCCGATGCTTCCGAGGGCATCGTGGCCGCGGCGTCGAAGCACCGTTCCATTGCCAAGCCGCAAGTAAACACGGACTAGAAGCGCACCACGATGCGGCAAATTGCAGCATTCCCTCGCCACGAGACGTCTCCGGGCAGATGGCCTCACACTCACACTCACATTCACGACCAGGCACTCGATCTGGGCTCGGGGCCAGGGGCAAGGCGCCCTTGTCATCCACGATTCGGCAATCAGAGGTAGCAAAGGGTAGCTGGCAGCTTCGTTGGCTGGTTAGCTGGTTAGTTGCTTATTTGGCCGGTGACTTCGGCATGCGATTAGTATTTTTCGCCCCCAAGCCAATCGGATGCCTGGGGATAGCTTCTTCGAGAACTAGCAAATGCCCTCCCTCCCTCCTTCAAACAGGCAACGCTAGCTAGCTCTGCTGCCTGCCATGCCAGTCTTGCCCTGCATTCCGCCGCGCACAACGTCGGGCCCCCGTTGGCATTTTCTTCGCCTTTTTGCCTTTTGAGCTAGCCGGCTGGCCGGTTCTGGTTCGAGATGGTGCCCGTCGCCCGATGTGCCCCTTCCTCCAAGCGGGCAAGGCTCGATCGAGGGAAGCGGCAGCAGAGCCTTCGCCATCTCTCCCGCTAGGCAAATAACGTATCCCTGATTAGTATTTTCGCCCGCAGCCAGCACCGCCGGTCAGATGCCACGACTCCAAGGGAGCAGGCCGTGGCCCAGCCTAGCCGCGTTGCTCGCTTGCCGACGTCTCCTCGTTCCGCCTCGGAAAACGCCCAAGGAAGGGAGGGGACAACGCGATATCCCTAGCGGCTTCACGGCTTCACGGCTTCAACGCTGGCTACCGGAGGGGAGTGGAATGCAATGCAATGGGAGGAAGCGCAGGCACGCACGACGCAGCACATGCGTCCGTCGAGGGGCCGAAAAAGTTATAAATACACCACGGCCAGACCACGATTCCCAACATGTCCTCATCACTCACACAATCAACACTCTTTCCAATCATCTCATCTCTACTCTACACTAATTCAACCTCTTCTCTCGCGCTTCACCGCCAGACTCTCGCTCAAACTACTTCAAAATGGCCTTCTTCAAAGTCTTCATCGCCGCCGCCACCATCGCCACCGCCCTGGCCGCTCCTCACCAGCACGGAGGCGACGTCAACAGCGACCACAAGCAAAAGGTCAGCGTCAGGGACGCCGCCGCCCAGTGCGGCAACGGCCAGAAGCTCTCCTGCTGCAACAAGGGAGACACCGGCGCCTCCATCTTGGGCGATCTCTTGGGCGGAAACTGCGACGCCATCAGCATCCCCATCATCGGTGAGCCCGTCTCCTTGCTCAACAAGCTCGGCTCGGCTCGACTTGCCCGCTAACCCCGTCAAACAGCTCTGGACATTCCCATCAGCTCCGCCTGCACCAACCAGGTTGCCTGCTGCCCTGGCGACCAGAATGTAAGACTCCTCGCATTGCGGAACACAGCCGTGACATGATGGCCTTGGAACCCTTCTAACCCGCCGTCTAGGGCCTCATCAACCTCGCCTGCACCAACCTCGTCCTCTAAGTGCAGCCTCTGGGCGTGCTAGAGGAGCGCCGGGGTCTTGTTCCCCCCTGCACGGAGGGCCAAGATGGACAAGCAAACTCGTCAACTCGCCATCCTGGCCTCGGCGTCTCTTTCTTAGCACTGGATTGTTGCGACCATGGATTGTACGGGCTGCTCGTGGATTAATGGTCGGAACAACGCCAGACAAGAGGACATCATGCCCTTCATCTATCGCGGGACGGGTCCTTGGTCGTGGAAGCTCCGTCAAGGTTCCCATGGTGCCTGTCAAAGGGCATGATCTGAGTGTACGATGTTTGCATTTTTGATTTTTTCTCTGCAGGTAATCAGCTATTACTAGATAGTCTACTACTAATTTGACACTTAACCCTTAATAATCACCATCTCATGCGTGCGTCTCCCGTTTCTTGACTTAAACGCTTCGTTATAAAACCCCCAGGGGCGTCCCACGATACGCCCCGCGTCTGAGCCTCGACCCGACTATTCGAATTCATCTCGCATCGTCATGCAGAATAGCTTCCAAAGAGCCGCGCCGAGGGAAAAAAAAAAAAAAAGACCAAAAACAAAAGACGAGAAAGAAAAGGGCGGCCGGGGGGTGACAACTGATCGCCGTCCCCAAAGAGAAACCCGCATCAAACTCCAAATACCGAATGCCCTTCCTTACTGTTGCGCCAAAATTGCCAACTCGATCCGTGAAAGCCCAAGCGGCTCGCCAGTTCGGGGCAGCCGCAGCCACCAAGATTCAGCAGTAAAAAGCCAGTGCTTTGGCGTACATGGCAAGGCAGAAAGGCATCTGCAGACCCTTTGCATTTACTTCCCCAACCCTAACCCCGAAGCGGTCGAGTGATTCCGGTGGAGCTCCGGCTTCGGTGGATGCCGACTCTTGCAAGACACTATCAGGGTTAGGGTTCTCGGACATTGACCAACCAGACACGGCGAGCGGGATAGCCGAGCAGTAGTCAACTACTTAGTCGGCGTCGTGCGCACCCCCCCCCTCGCCTCGTCCTCGCCACGACCATCTCCGCAACACCGCGCGGCCAGCCAGACGCCCTGTTTCGCCCGCCGCAACAATGAATCCTCCAACGGCCCTCGGCGCGATCCTCGTCCGCGCCGCCCCTCGCGCGCGCGCGTACTCGTCCTTCCGGACCCGCCCTGCGCCCCCTGCGCTCCCCGCCTCGCAGCAGGCCGAGTTTGAGCGTCTGCAACGCGACGCCGCCGTCTCGTCCGCCTTCCGACCCGACAACGACGACGGCAGCGGTGCCGCCGACCCGGCGTCCGCTCGGGCCCAGTCCCAGGCGCAGGCAAATACCCCCGCGGAAAAGGAGGGCGTCAACCCGGCCCTGCGTCGCGGCGCACCGCCCGAGTTTGACGGCGACAAGAATCCCACGACGGGCGAGGTCGGCGGTCCCAAGAACGAGCCTCTGCGGTGGGGGGGCCGCGGCGACTGGAGCTACAATGGGCGGGTGACGGATTTTTAGCTCCCCAGGAGAGGCGTCCCCACGAGCCGGCAACTGCCGCTCTGCCGATACTTCCCAGGGCCGGATGGACTGCGTCTTCAGCAGACCGACGGCGGAGACGGCCGGGCCGCGAGACAACGTCTGACGACAGCCAAAGACGGGCATCAGCATGTCACGAGGGGCCCTCCCCCGGGGCGTGAGGCAATGATAAGAGACGGGGGCCACGGCATCGATGGCGATTACGGTTGGACAGAGAGGCAAGCTTCTCCCGCCTCCCTCACATGTGCACCACAAGGCCGTGGCAAATCTGTACAATATAGGCGGCACGCCACACATCCTCCTCCTCCTCCTCCTCCTCCTAGTCCATCTGCTTCCTTGATAGTCGGTATTCTTACACCTTGTAAATGTTTGACAAGACATGTCATCCAGACGCCATCTTCTAGGTATCCCGCAGTTTTGATAACAATGACAATGAACCAAAGTTGAAAGCAGTCACTTTTCTTCTACAGTGTCCGACTCCTTCTTCTCTCGCCCCACTTCCTTCACCGTTTCGACGTCTTGGACCGGCGGCGTTTGCCTCGTCTCCTTGGGTGGCTCTTCCGGCTCCCCGGGCTGTGTCGTCAGCTGTGTCGTCGCCACGCGGTTCTGGTTCTCCTTGTTTCCCTCGCTCCCCGCGCGTTCCTGGTCCGGATTGTCGTCTGCCGCCTCCGCAGGCGCCTCGGTCTGATCCTTCCTTCTCCAGTTGCCGCTGATGTCGCCTCTCAGAGGCGACGAATTGTCCCTGATCGGCTCCACGTCAGGCCCGTGGATATTGCCAAAGCTAGCTGAGACTTCTTGCATTGCTTTGCGCATGCGTTGCCTTCTAGCCTCGCCGCGTAGCCTCGATTGGGGCTGCGCGCCGTTTTCCACCCATCGGATGCTCTTGATCATGTAACTGATGCCGTCGTGGACAGAGTGTCGACTGCCATGTTGGCCCCCAAACTCCCGGCTGGAAATGCCGAATCGCGTAGATGCCGAGTATTTGACAAGTCGAGGCAGGATCAGAACATTGACGAGCAAATCGCGGCTTGCTGGGATGTCCATGGGTCCCAAAGGCGGCGGCGCAGTGATGGCATCCTCCGATTCTCGACTCAGCAGCTCCGGGGGGGTTGGATTCTTGGTCTTGCGCTTGCCGCCCTCGGCCGCTCCCTGGTCCAGGTCCAGCATGGCCGTATCCACGTCGTCTGTCCACTCACCCTTTATCCATCCGCCGTGGATGCAAGCCGCCACCACGTCCGAATCATCAGTGTAAACGTCTGTGCCCCACAGATAGGCTCGGGCCGTGATTTCCTCGCGAGCTAAGGGAGAGAGGTGAACGAGGGGAACCTTGACTGTGAGTGTGCAATTCTCATTGTTCTGGATGATATCCCAGGGGAGTGGCTTGGGATTCGACGAGAACCCTCTGTGCGTGGGAGTGTTCGGAAGTAGTCGGCCCGGCTTCAGCTGGGGATCGTATATGAAATCTCCGAGATGATGCCTTGCGCGATTGGCGACCGAGTCCAACACGAGCTTGGAGGCTACTACCGTTTTCGTCTTTGGTGGAATGACGGGAGGCGCAGACTTGGTCTGGGTGGCCGGCGCGGAAGCCCCGGCCTTTTGGCCGTGGTGGTGGTGGTGGTGATGGTGAGCCTTGTCAGTCGGCGGAGCCGTTGGAGTGCTTCCCTTTAGATTCTTGGACTGGGCAGCTGCAGTGGCCGGTGATGGTACAGAATCTTGCCCGTGGTGGTGGTGGTGATGGTGATGACTGCAACATCGGTTAGCACCGAGCCATGTTTGGAGCTGAGTAAGATGTCACGTACTGGTGGTGATGGTGCTGATGCGGTTTGGCACGTTTGTTTGCTCGTCCAGCAGGAGTAAGTCTACCAGAGCTATCGTCGTCGTGAGCATGTTCATCCTTCAACTTCCGTCTTCTCCCAGGCTTTGCGCCCCTTCCATTGTCGGGCCCCGAGTCAGCCCCGGCATTTTCAATGTCTTCGCGCTTGGCAACCCCAGGATGTGATGTTTGACTTGGGAAGGCTGTCGCCGCCGAGGACGTCACCGGGCTGGACATGCCGATGCCACTGACGCCACTCCCAATGCCGGAGAACATGCGACCAAATTCGCTCTTGATGCCGGGCTCGGCCGCAGGGCCAGGTTGTTGTGGTTGTGCACCTTGGACTGCTTGCGGGAGAGGGGACATTCGACCCTTGCGATTGATGTCTTGGACGGCTAATAGATTCCGTTGCAATCCGTTTGGCCCGTGATGGTCGTCACCTGCCTTGCGAGGCGAATCAAACGGCGGGCCTTGAGAAGTGCCATAACCTGGGCCGGCTGGTGGCGGAGGCGGCTCTTCACGGCGGGAAGGAGCTTGAGGCTGAGGCGGATGAGTGTGAACTTGATCCATGCGTGCTCGGTCAGCCTCGTATGACTGTGGAGGCGGCGCCGGCGCGTTCCCAGGTGGGTGAGGTGGAGGAGGATGCGAGGTCGGCGGGTATCGATCCGGCGTGGAACTCGGATACGGCGGCCCGTGGTGAGTGTATGGCCCGGGCACAGGGGAGTACTCGGGATGTTGCGGTCGTTGATGTTCAGCAGGCGGTCTGTAATTCGGGTCTGAACTTGTTGTTGGCCGTCCCCACTGGTCGCGGGCATCTCGGTGCTCTGGAGGGCGTCCGTACGGAGACTGTCCGGGGTGCGTGTCCCGTTGTCCCAGCTCGTGAGGAGACATGTGCTGCCGACGCGGATCGCCACCTCCCGAGTAGGCCCGCTCCCTGCCTTCTCTCTCGCGAGCCTCGGGAGCTGGCTGTCGATCTCTGTCGGGGCGGAACCGTTCATCGTAAGGGTATGGCCTCAGACCCGGCCGTTCAGGATTGTGATCCATGGCTGCAGGCGGTCTTCCATCGTCTCTTCTTGCGTAGGGGTCGTCTGGCCGGCCCACGTCCAGAGGCCGCGGTGGCATACCGCCATACGGCGGCGGCTTGTTCTGAGCCGGGGGCGGGCCGGCAGACATTCTCCCTGGCTCTCGCGATGCATCGGCAGGTGCAGACGGGTGGCGCTGATGATAGCTTTGGGGGGTGCCGTATCGTTGCAAGTCGGGCGTGGTCGCGAAGGGACCGTGAGGCGAGGGCGCCGCGCTGCCGCGGGAATCGTAGGGTCGCGGATGGTCGGGAGTTTGAGGTCGGCGGAACGGAGGGTATTCGGATGACGCAGAGGTTAGTCTCGGCGAGGCCTGCGTGGCAGGTCCGTATCCCGGCGCCGATGATGGCGGAGGACCGTGGGATGAGTAGTGCTGTGGCGGTTGCGAATCACGCGAGGCGGGAGGCGGTCCGCCGAGCATAGAAGATATCGACATGGAGCTGCTTCCCGGGCCGCCTGCCGACCTGGCGACGGAGCCCAAGGCCGGGAGTTCCCTCCCGGACGGGAACGAAGCAGACGACCCAACGGAAAGGGGAGGCGGACGAGGCGGAACGGGGCCGTAGCTCACGGCGTTCTGCGCCTGCTGGTGGTGGTGATGCGGCGGCGGTTGGCCACCTCCTTGCTGGCCCTGCGAGGGCGACGTCGGCGGAGGAGGCATGATGCGGCCGTGGTCCCTGGCGGGCGGGAGCGGGGGGAGCGACGAAGCGCTCTGGGCGCGCGAGTGCGAATGCGAGTGCGGCTGCGAGTGGTTGTGGCCAAGGTCGGGAGCTGGCAAGCTGGCGCGGCCGGGCGGCGGGTAGTACGAAGCGTCCGAGGGTCGACGAGGGTCGGCAGCGTAGGCAGGGGCGGGCGCAAACGTGTGCGTCGCAAAGGGGTGATGCTGGGCAGGATGCACGGGGGGCGAGACGACGATGGAGGCTGGCGGGAAATGCGAAGGGCCGTTGGAGCTCGGCTTGGAGATGGAAACGGAGACGGAGCTGGCGTTGGCGTTGGCGTTGGCGTTGGAGCTCGACGACTTGGACTTGGACCGCCGTGGCACGGGAGCAGGCTGGCCGTGTCTTGGATCCATGGTCGTACCGAGTTTTTAGCTTCCGATGGGGCGCGACGACGGCCGCCTCCACTTGTGCAGCAAATGAACTGGAGAGGAGGCAGGCACGCCCGAGAGACGAACGAACAGGGATGCCGGGCCAGGAAAAAAAGATGGATCAGAAGAGGCGACGGGAACGATGCTCGATCAATGATGATTCATGGCCCCCGGATTCCAGGGACACGCACACGACCCCTTCGTCAGAGGCGTCCCGTCAGAGTCGGCGCATGGCAGTCGGGCCCAGCGCTGAGAGAGGCCTTGGTGCGCACGACGGACCGGGCAACGCCACGACGCAGCTCTTGCGTCTCGAGGTCGAGAGGGAGGCCAGTTGGCGGGCAGGCAGGCAGGCAGGCAGGCAACAACAGGGGAGCGAGAGCTTCCTGTCGAGCATCCGTCGCTGATCAAGTCTGACGGCGCCGATGGCGAGAACAGGCCGAGAGATCAGAGGTGGAGAGGGGGCAGAGGGAGAGGGAGATGGAAGGGAGAGGGAGAGGGAGAGATCAAGAGGGTGCCAGCGAGGACGGCCGTTGTTGAGGAAATTTGCGGTCGGTTGCACGCATGAGACGCCGCAAAGCCCACATGCGGCACGGATGGAGACTCGCGATGTGACGAGCTGCTTCCTGGGGGACTGGGATGTGGCGCCCGAAAGCCAAAGACAGCGAAGCACTTGAGACCACCAACTTTGGAGCGTCTTGCAGTCGCCGAACTGGACGTCTGACGCGCTACGAGTGTGAGCCGCCTCAGCACCAACAGCGTGTTTCGCACGTGTGCATGTGCGGTAAAGGGAAGGAAACGAAGGTGACGCTGATGAAGGAGCTGCCAAGGCCGCAGTCGAGAGTTCGATGCCGCTCGCGGCTGAGTGAGGGACGGGCATGAACCCCAGGCAGTCGCGGGACGATGCGTGGTGGTGGCCGGGTTGGGACGAAGGTTATTGTCTCCCAGCACAACTACAACTCTACTGCATCGTCGCGTGTGCTCGGAGATTCACCTGCCGAGTAAGTTACGTGGCTGGCAAATTAATGACGGACCGGCCGAGCAGGCGCGGAGCTCATGGGTTCGAGGCCAAATTCATGTACTCCATCTTGGAAATGGGACTACTATCCGGGCCGGCCAAAGCAAAACTAGTTGACAGCCATGTCTAAAAAACGTCGCAGAGCGCCTCCCAAACACCAATATGCAAGACTGTCCTGTCCTGTCCGTCTCTGGGTTTCTGCATCTCTCCGTCCATTCGGGGTCTTCCCACCATTCGCACTCGCTCGCAACAACTCAACAACTCATACTCGATAGACATTGCGGTTAGCACCAGTATCGGGCGGCTGAGCGTCTTCATTCCGGACCATGGCTGTAGCTGGCTTTCATCTCACCCGCGGCTGTCGGTGTCCACCACGCATCGCGGCATCATGATTCTGTCGCGAGAGAGGGGAACGGCGTGTTGGCGGTTGAGAGAATGCCGCATGACCACTGCAGACACGGGCCTCTCCATCTGCAACCTGCGGACAACCGAGTCGAGCGCGAAGAGCTGTCGGCGGCAGTTCTCGTGTGACACCCTCAGGAACGCCGTTTTTGGCTGTGCAGATCGATAGTTACACGGTCAGGGAAACGATTGGATGACACATGGCCAGCAACGACCAGTTTGCGCGGAGACAGAAGAGAGAGCAGCTCGAGTTGGCACGTGGAGCCAGGACTGCCTGATCAGAGTTGCCCGTCGGTGTGTGCCTTTGGTGCTCATCAGGTTGGAATTGATCCGCCGAAAAGCCTGCGTTTGTGCGGCTTGCTGCAGCTGCCCTAGGAAACTCGACGGTTCCGAATAGTCAGTAACTACATAATAACAACTCTGTACATGTGAGGTGTCAACCAACATCCGTGCATGGGGCATGGCACCTTGGCCATGACACCGGGGATGCGACATGATGCATGTGTCTGGAACCATGCGGTCATGTCGACTCTCCATCAGTCCGACTCCATTGTCCGCCCCGGGGAAGGAGCAACCGAGCACGTAATCACATGACCAACTCGGCGTTTTCGGATCCCTTGAAAGAGATATGGAAACACCATTTTGCAGGTCAAGACAGTTTCAAAGCCCTTTCACACAGTCCCAGGCCTCGACGACCATGGATTTCACATGCCGCGTCGACAAACAAATTCGGCTTCTTTGATCGTCAATCAGGGCGCGAATGGCCCCCTACATCCCACGTCAAAACGAGAGGCGGCAACTAATACCGTGGTATCTTGTTCCCTGTCACGCCCTGCATCGTGAGGCTATTCCTGCCACATCTGGAGTTTGGACACGGACAGCGACCACGCCCAGCTTCGCATGTCAATCAAGGACATATTGCGGCAAGCGTCATTCACCAGCACCAGGTGCCCCAGTGGATCAAAGGCGCCGCCGGTACTGGGCCCTGTCCGTGGTTTTTTCTTCCTTTTCCCATTTTTTTTTCCTTTTTGTTCCCGGTCCATTGAGCATTGAACAGTCCATTCGGGGTTGCAGTTCAGCCAGAAGATCGACGGCGACGCCCGTGAACGAGATTTGCACTCCAGCAGCAAGGAAGTACTGGCCTACATTAATTAGGCCGTCTCTCCCAAAACTTAAAGTTGCCGTACCAAACTTGGTTTCTTGCAAACTACCTTTATCGGTCGTCGCACCCAAGTCCCGACTCCCGAGCTTAGATTCGCATCCGCACACATCCGCCCAGACGAAACAATACCGTGTGTCCCCAAGATGAGATTGTCATTCGCCTTTTTCCTTTCGCTTATTGCCTTGGCTGTCTGCGATACGGCCAACTGTGGCGGTGCTAATTACACGCCACGCCACCTCCAAAAGGCCGTCAGCGCTGCGTGCAGTTTGTTGCAGGAACGCAAAACAGTTGGAAGAAACGAATACCCGCACAAATACCAGAACCATGAGAAGATTGAACTTACCGGGCCTCCGCCCTACTTTGAATTTCCTCTTCTCCCATATGGAGAAATTTACTCTGGCGGTAAGCATCTGCCTCGTCCATAACCTTCCTGTCTTGGCTAACCATACCAGATGCTCCGGGACCCGATCGAGTCATCATCACCAAAGATTGCAAGCTGGCAGGCGCCATTACTCACACGGGATCCAGCAGAAACGGCTTCGTCACCTGCGATGTCAAGCGCTCGCCCGCGTCTGTGCTTGTCTTGAACGGCCAATCTGTATTTGCGCTCTGCTTCACGATGATGCTTTACGCGGCGGTTGCCTAAATTACGCTGTGGAAAACGTATCTCGTGTTTGTGACGGCTGTATAGACTGCACCGAGAAAAGAGGCAGTGTATGATGAGCACAGACATTGAACTTGGACCTCGGGCCGAGCTACGTGTCCGCGTTGGATATTGCGATTTGCCAGACACAGGGACTACCCATGAGACGTTAGACCTGGAAATACCAGAAATGGCCTTCTAGAATGGATTTCCGCGTCCACGCATGTCGGAATCGCCATTCGCACTCGGCATGTTGCAGTGTTTTCAAATTCATGACGTGATGCCAAACCTTGTTGATGTGAGCCGGAACATTGTCTTCCTCTGAGCGTACAATTGGCACAACTCGGGACCTTGATCAGCATTTCGTTGTTTCAACCACAAGTTACTCAGTACTTCCTTTTCTATAATCATTGATAATATCTGTCCTACGGACTGTCTTTCATCGTCACGCTTTAAACACTCCGCAGGCGCTCGCAATCGTCTTTTTGTCGACTTTTCTGGCAAGTGCGGAGTGATTCGGGGCAACGGTTTGACGTCAGGCCAACTCTTTCCAAGAATCGCCATTGTTCCCAGCCCTGCCTCCAGGCTCTGACTTATGCATAGCAGAATCAAGGCCGTTGTTTGGACCGCTTCTCGTGATCCCATCCATCTACTTGTGCAGGTAAAAAGTCAGCGAGCCTAAAGTCTTTTTCATTCTCAGTCAAGAACCAGCGGGAAACTCAACCCTTGGCAAATCCTTTTCTGCATTATTTGTTGCCGTCTGACATATTTTCCTCCGCCATTACAAGTTCCCAACCCATCACTTGTGGCGGAAACATGGCCAAGACAATATGGGACTACATTCACGAAGCCTGCACGCAGTGCAACATGGGCATTCGAAGTGACATCCCCCCCTTCACCGGCAACCAGGATATTGAATCCTCTCTCATCGACGCAGGAGACAGGAACAGAGTCCTGTTATTCCCAGGCGCCTTCAATCCTGCTCACGAAGGTCATCTCCAGCTTCTCGAAAGCATCCTCACTGCCACGAAGAAGACTCTCAGCATCAGGGGAGTCGTCATCGTGCCGCACGATGACGAACAAGTTCAAGACAAGACCATGGAAGAGCCAGCAACCCTCGATCTGGCCAAGTCTCAGCGCTCGACTCTTTGGAGAAGAGCCGTTGGGTTCCCGGAAAACAAGGCATGGATATTCACGGGGTCGCGCTCCGCCCTGGCAATGTTCCAGGAACAACTGCAGGATAATCTGAGAAAGGAGAACATCAGTCTGACGTTTCTGCTCCTAGTGGGCGCGGATTGGATCAGCACTAGGGCAATTTACGACCCCGGCGAGTGGAACTGCAGCGAGGCCATCACGTCTGACGTGTCCCGGCCTGTGGATTTCCGTTGCGAATATACGCTTCGACAGATGCCGGGCTGCTTCGAGTGGGTTCAAGTAGTTTTTGGTGAGGATACCGATGATCTCTCTCGGGGCTCTCTTCAACTCACATGCAGACGTAAGTGGTGGGCTTCGGCTCCGTGGGCTCCGTGGGAAAAAAAAAATGCGTGCGCTAACAAGTTGCGGCAAAGCCAATGTGATGGAGGGAGTCAGTCTATGGTCGGCTTTGACAGTGAGACGACCCTTGCGCCGATACTACTTTGTGCCTTGCCGGCGGCCATGTTCTCCGGATACGCCATATCCCAGCTCTACGCGTATCCGGCAAAGGATATTCGAAGCCCGCGCCGCACGTCTCCCCGTGGACGAGGACGTCTTGGCAACGGCTTTGTCGCAAGACATTTTGTTGGGGTATGTGCGAGGGAGTGTGGACTCTCTCGACGGGGACGGCGAGAGGGCCGAGGACGAGGACGCAGGAAATGACGATGATGCAACGCGTCACTGCCAGGTTGTTATACGGAGCTCCCTGTGAAACACGCGAGTACATGGTCACGATTGACGAGCGAGCATAGCAAAGACAGTTTCCAAGTAGTGAATAATGGGCTTCTACGTTTCATCAAACGAGCTCAGCAGATGCCTTCCCGCTGTTATGGTACGGACCAAGCTGGATGGATGGGTGAGGTAGAATTTTTGGATGACGATATCAATCGCCTACCCTAAAGCGCGCGCGGGCCAGACGCGTCGTCGTGACGCACTTCAAGTGTCCATTTGTTTGCAGAGGCCCAGGGACGGCGCAAAGCTCATGCATGCGCCGTCCGTCGAAACGCCGACATCATGCAACTACAAATAAGCTTCTCTTCGTCTGCTGCATATCCCAGCAGCTGTTCCTGCCGGGGTGGAACCAGAATCGAGTCCAAATCCGTCGGCACCTGCATCCTTTCCGCCGGCCTCACCATCGGGGGCTCCCCATTTTCCATCTCCCTCCTTGCATGTCAGATTTTCTCTCCGTCACGACTCATCACCACCACGACCACCACCACATGTGCACCTTCCACGGCCATCGCCATCGCCACCGCCACCCCCATCCAAAGCCGGCCCAGAGGCAACGCAAAAGACAATGGGATCAAGTGACGTGCCGCCCCCCGCAGCCCCGGCCTGGCTCATCCCGGCATCCACGACGCTCCTGGGCGCGGGCGTCGTCTGCTGGCTCGTCTGCTACGCCCTCATGGCGCGACGCTCTCTCCGGACGCGCGACACGCCCATCCCCCTGCTCGCACTGGGCATCAACCTCTCGTGGGAGATGGTGTACGCCTTCTACGTGACCGAGGAGTGGCTCGAATTCGCCGGGTTCATAATGTGGCTCGCCCTCGACCTGCCCGTGCTGTACACGACGCTCAAGTACGGACGCAGGTCGAATGCCGCATCGCCGCTGGTCGCCCGCAACGTGCCCCTGCTGCTGGGCCTCGTGTTCGCCTTTGGCCTCGTCACCAACACCCTGTTCGCGTGGTGGTGGTTGAGGGAGCCTCATCGCGGCTACGGCCTCAAATTCGGCAAGACGTGGAAGGGCCTCGAGGCGAGGGACACGACCGAGCTGGCGTGGTGGTCTGCCGGCGTGGCGCAGATGACCATGAGCGTCGGCGCCTTGGGCATGTTGCTCCAGCGAGGGCACTCGGGCGGCCAGAGCTATGCGATATGGTGAGTCGGTCCTCCTTTTCCGAAACGCCTTCTTCACCGCCGCCTTGTCCAATGTCGACGGCGTCGCGGCCGGGGAGTGCCATGTCGTGAAACCACCCGTCTCGCTGCTCGCCTCCCCCGTTTCCTCTGATGTCGTTGTCGTCGTTGCCTGGGAGGGGGGGGG